GAACCATCATTAACATGAACAAACTGGAATCTGTCTGATAAATATGATTTAAACCAGTTCAGCGCAGTCCCTTTAAGTCCAATCACATGTTCCAATCTCTGCAATAGGATGCTATGCTCAACAGTATCAAATGCCGCACTAAGATCCAATAGAACCAGAACGGACACTAGTCCACTATCTGAAGCTAGAAGAAGATCGTCGGTGACCTTCACCAGTGCTGTCTCTGTACTATGATGAATTCTAAATCCTGACTGAAACTCTTCATTCAAACCATTTACATGCAGATAATCACATAGTTGGTTTGCCACGACCTTTTCACCCAGGGCCCACTGTACCAGTATATGGTCTCACAGTGGGACTGAGGATCTCATCCTGGTACCTGATGGCAGTCAGAGTACCTCTGGTTAGCACGTGGAGGGCTGTGGGCCCTCCAAAGAGATGCCTCCCCACACCATCACTGACCCACCACCAAACCAATCATGCTGGAGGATGTTGCATTCAGAATGTTCTCCACGGCGTCTCCAGACTCTGTCACATGTGCTCAGTGTGAACCTGCTCTCATCCGTGAAGAGCACAGGGTGCCAGTGGCCAATCTGCCAACCTTGGTGTTCTCTGGCAGATGCCAGTCGCCCTGCATGGTCCTGGGCTGTCAGCACAAGCCCCACTGGTGGACGTGGGGCCCTCAGACCACCTCATGGAGTCTGGTTCTGACAGTTTGAGCAGAAACATGCATATCAGTGGCCTTCTGGAGGTCATCCTGCAGGGTTCTGGCAGTGCTCCTCCTGTTCCTCCTGCACAAAGGAGGAGGTAGCATCCTGCTGCTGGGTTGTTGCCCTCCTACGGCCCCCTCCATGTCTCCTGGTGTACTGGCCTGTCTCCTGGTATCTCCTTCATGCTCTGGACACTGTGCTGAGAGACACAGCAAACCTTCTCGTACTGATGTGCCATCCTGGATGAGCTGCACTACCTGAGCAACTTGTGTGGTTAGGGTTAGGGCACCTCGTGCTACCTCTAGGGCTAAGAGCACTGAAAAAATGAGAAACTGACCAAAACATCAGCCAGAAATGATGAGAACAGACTCATGGTCTGTTGTCACCATCTGCAGAACCACTCCTTTATAGGGGTTGTCTTGCTAACTGCCTCTCATCTCCACCTGTTGTCTGCTCCATTTGCACAACAGCAGGTGAAAGTGATTCACCATCAGTGTTGCTTCCTACCTGGACAGGTTGATTTCACAGAAGTGTGACTGACCTGGAGTCACATTGTGTTGTTTAGGTGTTCCCTTTATTTTTTTGAGCAGTGTGTAACAGTCAAAGTTATCTCCCCTTCACAGTGTCAGAAGCTTCAAGAGTCATTGTTTATGTCTTCTTCAGACTCAACAACATCATGACTGCAATTTCTGCATGTGATGCCTTTACAGATTCCACAGGTCCAGATGCATGTGACCCCATTCTTCTTGCAGCTGGATATGTCCATGTACTCATCCATGTCCCCTGCAAATGTTTTCTGCACATGTTGCACAGCATTCACTCTGCAGACCTGGGACTGGATCCTTCTACAGATCATGTCTCTGAAGCCCAGTGACTATGGATAGACATTAGGTGTGCATGGAGCATTGTAACTTGCAGCTGCAAGAAGAATGGGGTCACGGGCATCTGGGCCTGTGGAATCTGTAAAGGCATTACATGCAGAAACTGCAGTCATGATGTTGTTGAGTCTGAAGAAGACATAAACAATGACTCTTGAAGCTTCTGACACTGTGAATGAGAAATAACTCTGAGTGTTATATAAGTACGTGAAATAAAAGCTACTGTGCAATATAAATGTAAAAGTTATTGTGGCCTTTTTCAACAAAGAAGTGTTTGTGGAGAAATATAAATGTTAACAATCAATTCAGAATCTTGAAAAAACCCTGATTTGACCCCTCATAAGTTACTTAAGGCCAGATTTTAAAAAATCGATTTTTCGTCTATCGGTTATCGGTACCCTAACTTGAGCAGGTTTTTTTAAAGGTTTCCCACGGGAATTGAACTTCAACATTTTAAGGCATGTTATTACACACCTTTACAAACATATTGGTGAAGAAATTGTTTGATAACGATTTAGTTGCCAGATTTGCAAAAAATCTCATAAAATGCCCTTACTATAGTTGTCAACTGTTCAATTCATGACTTGTTCTGATAATCAGTTCATCGGTTTGAGTCATTTTCAATAAAACATGTCGTCTGGTTTCTAAAACACTTTCTGAATTGATCTCTGCCTGTGCTGAACACTGATTTACCCGTTTCAGTCAGGTTTAAATCAAAGCAGGGTCCGTTCTGATGCCATCTTCAGTGTAAATATTTTCTGGTTCGTATTCCTCAGTGAAGTGAATATATTTGGGCTGCAGACAAAACGGGACATTTGAGGAAACACTGATGTTTGGTCAGAGGCCAAGCAGCCATCAGTTCGTCGTTCATGATTGATTCAATGCTGAACATATTGCTTAGTTGTAGCTCTGTTGTCAGGTCTGCTGCATCACAGTGTGAAATACAAACATGTTCTCATGCTGCTGTAACAAGTCAGACGTTCCTCCAAAGCTTCAGGCTCCTGAGAAAGTTCCACAAAGACCTGCTTGTGATTGTAGTGAAACATCTGACCGAAGGCGACAGAGCGAGAGCAGAGTTTATCAGTGTGCACTTTCTCAACATCTCTCCCTGAGAAATGAAGCAGGAGCCGACAGTCACATCTTGTTCCCCGTTTACCTGAGCGCTAACTCACCTGTGTGTCTGACCAGGTACAGCTACGACAACCAGAACCAGAGAGAGGTCTGCATCATCGAGTATCCCGAGTCTCCAGGCCTGCCTGTCGAGGGTGTGGTCGTCGGAGACGGTGCTGAGGGCGACAAAGCTGAAGACCTGTCCCGCCGGCCTCAGTCCCGTCCCCCAGCCGCAGATGCTGCAGCTGCCGCCAGACCGCCTCAGCAGGCCGCCAAACGCAAAGAGGGCCTCCCCACTGCCACAGAGGGCGCCAAGAAGAAGAAGCCTTTCCACTGCAAACCGTGCCACTTCCAGGCCCAGAACGAGCAGGAGTTTGTGGAGCACCTCAGCACCCACAGCATCAGCAAGATGCTGGTGGTGAACCGTGTGGAGGGACGCAGCAAGACCAAGGCCAAGGACGCAGAGCCGCCCGAGGCCCAGGCTCCGGCCGGTGGGGGGGCGGAGAGTGGTGGGGAGGCGGCTGCAGGCGACATCAAGGGGCTGATCAGATGCGAGCGGTGCGGTTACAACACCAACCGATACGACCATTACATCGCCCACCTGAAACACCACAGCAAGGAGGGCGAGGACCACAGGTAAGGGCACACCTGAGCTGCCTCTGCTCTCAAAAACACAGATGAACCAGCCACAACTCCCAAACGTGTTTAAAACAGCGGGTTCAGGACTTTACTCTGCACATGTGAACCTGCTGAACCCACACCTGTCGTTTTAGCCCTTTCACCGTGTCAGATTCTGTTCACAGGTTAAGTTCTGTAAAATGACGGCAGAGGCCTCCAACATCGGTGAAGTGTCAACTAAAGGCTTTATTTTTAGTAGGATGCACTTGCAGGAACTCTCTGGAGCCACAATACCACCCTCATTTGAAAATGTAATACTGTTCTCCATTTTTGTGGGAACATTAAAAAAAAACAAAAAAGTCGTCTGCTGTGGAGCCATTTGATCATTTGGATCTGCTGGAAACTATTCTGTCCTCACCAGATTTCATGGCTTATATTCATGGAGATACTAAACCTTTAAAATCACGTCCCAGGGCAGATGTGTTTTTAAAATATTGGAAATATACGAAATTCTCCAAATTCTCTCAAAATGTCTGAACAGAAAAACAAGAGAAAGACAAGCGCAAACTATCTCAAAGTGACACAAAACAACCAAATATCAGCACGAATGAGACACAGAGGAGACGCAGAATGACTGACAGACGACAAAAACACTATAAAAACGACAAGGTGAGACAGGAAGCAGCACGGACAGGACTCAAGACTGCAAAAACAAGACCGAATACAACAAAAACTCGATAGGAAACAAGAAAAATGAGACAGAAGACAGACAAAATCATCTTTCAGAGTTTGTGGAGACTGTAAAAATGACAATAGTTAAATACTTACAGTGAGCCTCCATTTTTTCCAGTGTTGGTAACAGCAGTTTCCATTGAGGACTTTTTACTGCAGTTAAAAATGAACCACAGTGAAGAAAACGAGACTGACGGTGAGTGATGATTGTGCTGCTGTTGTGTGCCTGCAGGGTTTTTAAGTGCACTCTGTGTCCGTACACCACCGTCAGTCAGTACCACTGGAGGAAACACCTGAGGAATCACTTCCCCAGCAAACTGCACACCTGCAGCCAGTGTTCCTACTTCTCCGACCGCAAGAGCAACTACATCCAGCACATCCGGACTCACACAGGTATGAAGGTCCTCGGCCTTTGCTCTGCCGCATCCTCAGAGTCTGTAACAATGTCTATACACATAAGGGTGTGTTGTCTGTACAGGTGTCCGTCCTTTCCAGTGTGTCTACTGCGACTACTCCAGCTCTCAGAAGACCCACCTGACCCGACACATGAGGACTCACTCAGGTTAGTAATCCAGGAAAACCGTGGCATGCAGCTGAACACGTTCACCATGTGGCTGAAACACAACATGGCTCAGTGGCTCCAAGAGCCGAACAAAACCCTGAACGCAGCACGCAGACGGTCTTCAGAGAGCAAAAGTGCAAAATCTAATTTTAATACCTGGTTGGGTGTGTCTTTACAGGACAGACAATCTGACCAAAACCACCAGTTGATAATCAGCCTCAAACCAGTACAAAACCCAGTCCAAAACAATCCCAAAACTAGTCCATAACCAGCTTGAAAACCAGTACAAAACCCAGTCCAAAACAATCCCAAAACTAGTCCATAACCAGC